CAACAATCACACAATCGATCAGAAAACCTGATGTCTTCCATGTACAAGTTATTGTGAGTTTTATAAAATTTTGCGCCAGAAGCAGAAGCTGAACCGTCGCGCGTGGAATGCGACATTCTGCCTGGGCGAAAGCTTTAGAATAAAAACGTTGCTTGACGAGGTGCAGAAAGGAATAGGATATTTTTTGAGGTTTAAACAGGCTGTGATATAGGCTTAAGAGCGGCATACGAAGTTCATGATGGCAAGATCGAAGCCACCATGAACAACAAATTTATTCTACACTGTACCCTTTTAGGCAGCACTATATCATGTGCCAATTTTGCCTTTTTATGATTCTCATCGGATTCCTCAGTCGGTAGAACATCGGACTCAAACCTGACGAGTTTTCAGGGTTTGTCGCCTTTCTTCCTTCAGCGTTTTATAAATGAGCACCACTGTTAGAAGGAAATGGTAGATTTTACACTGCTGCCATATAGCTGTTGTGCATTCTGCCTTTTAAGCAGTGCATTCCTGGCTGGTAGCGTTTCAATTGGCATCAGTGCTCCAGAATTATAATTTATGAAAAGATGTGCATCAGAAATGGCGCCACTATGAAAGTGTAAAAAAGGACTGGTCTTCCAGAGGATAAAAAACTTCTTCTCTGTGCTTCTTAGAGTGCTTAGATACCCAATCCGACTGTAAATAACTTATTATTAGAGACTGAAGAGTCTGCATGAGCAGTTAAGCTGTAGATTATGGCCACAAACATGGCGCAAAGCTCCACTTGTCGGTCATTGCTTTATTGAGCCTTTTGGATCAAGTCTACGTAAATGTGCTGTAAAGGAGTTGTCGCGGAATAACTCACTCAAAGATACAAGGAAAGCAGTGTAGTTTATGGTGCAGTCGAAGCATCTTTGCACCCTACACCAGATTGTTGAAAGATTGTGGGAGTTCGCCCGTTCGATGTGCATGTGCTTTGTTGACTTAGAAAAAGCCTATTACCGGATGCCATGCAACAGTCTGTGGTCATGTCTTCGAGCATACGGGATAGATGGTCAGCTGTTGATGGCTACCCAGTTACTCTAGCCTGCTGTTTTTATCACTGTTTCTTGCACAGCCGACCGACAGAATGCCCTCTGTGCAAACATGTGGAAGGAATCTGTTCTAGACTCCAGTTATCTCCTGCCGAAGCTCAGACTCCGGCACAGGATCGGGAACGTTGGAAGCTCTGTCTGACGCGTCTGCCTCCGCAACCTGAAAGGAAAAGCAGTTATGGTTGATGATGATGAGGCGTCAGGCTGCCCGATGTTATTAAGTTGTTGCAAACGAATTTCACTACAAATGGAGTAGCATCATCAAGACACCTTAGTGGTGCCCTAAACTATGAATCACTGAACAATCTACAATTTCAACAATAGGCTCAGAATCAGAAACGCAATGTCATATGTATAATTTTTAGTTGCTTTGTTATTGCTTGATGACCGCTGTGTAAATCTTCGATTCGTGATGATGTCATTAAACGCTGAAGATGAGGTTTTTGATTGATTGGTTTATTCACCTATAATTTGGTTATGACTGAAATTGGTTTCTTTTAAAGTGCATCCCGCCTCATCCAGATCTGCTTTCATTCCAAGTTGTCAGTTTCGCAATTCGTTATTCAGGATTGATCATAGCTCCTTTACGTAAGATGGGCTGATGCTTCGATAAACGTTTCGTACGTCTCAGATTCAAAAATATATACTGTAGTTTTGTAGCGGTGATTTAATTAGAAGCATTGCGTGGCAGATGTAC